TTTGTTGGCCTTTTACAACCACAAAAGCACTCACTCTGAGACCCATAGGATTAGGCCCTCCACAAGTATATTAGGAAGGAAACTTTCTTCACTGTAAGATTTTTCTTCTCAAGCCAATCTCATCACTTTACACTACAGAAGGAAGGGAACAAAAATGATTTACTTAATAGCAAGTAAAAGTGATCAGCAGGGGAGCGTTAAGATGGATTCTTTTCTGACCATTAAAACAAGCAGTTACCCTGAAACAAAATAATTGATTATTCACTATGCTCTGTGACCAGAGCAGACAGCAAGTAGGGAAAGCACAGCCAGTGGTCACGGGAAGACAGTGCTTGAAGGACCCTGGTCTGAATGGCAGTCCTTCCCCATGGCTTGGCAAAGCTTAGTTTATCTCTAACTAAAAACCAATTGCTGATGTGATTAAAAATTCACTATAAAGCTGGCTCAGTTTTAAAGTGGGAGATGTCAAGGCATCTAAGATTCATCCTACAGATCTACTTTATGTGGCATGTTTCCCACACCATAATTTCAGTACCTTCCACAAAATTTCTGACCAAGAAAAAAGCTTCACATGTACATTTATAAGCAGTACATGCTGTCATTCAAAAGCAAGTCTCCATCTGTCTTGGGCCCCAGTCACAGCAACATCATTAGGAACATTGATTTGCTGGTATAATTCTAAAATTTTTGTAGGGAGGTTCTGTGGTCGTGTTTCTTAACCCACAGAACTTTAAGATGCCTTTCTACCATAAAGCAAATGGAGCTTTATGAGCTCAGAAGGAGCTGCTGTAAGGGAAAAGTGCCACTTAAATGCCTAAGAGAAAATAGATGCCAGGGATCCTGTATTACAGGATATGCTGTACTGCCAAACATACATCCAAACCAATGAATGGTTACAGTGGTCATAGTAGTGGAGGAATTCACACCACCTCTAGTAAAGCAGTGAGCATATATGTACAACACACACACCTGTAGCAGTTTCATTCCTTCTAAACAAGACTTCATAGGATTCACACACACATGGAGACATTCAAGCTCAGCCTGGACAGCACTCTGAGCTGTAGATAACCCTTTTTACTGTAGTAGTTAGATTAGACGACCATTTAGATTCCTTTTCAACTTGATTGTATGAATCTGTATAACCCTTAAGATGTCAGAGGCTGGTGCAAAGTAATTACACCAACACAATCTCGGCAGATCTCTGCAGAGAAAAAAAAAACAAAAACAGTCCCTGTGAGATCAGAGCACCAAAATACGAAAAATACTAAAAAGCCAGCTCTAATCATATATCTGCTTTATTCTGTTAACAGCTCACTTCCAATCTGGATATAAGGCACTTCATTATCCACTGATATTCAGCAGCTGGAAAACTAATTTAGAAGTATTCCCTGCCAACATCTTGGGAAGATTGCAGATAAAATTTTTGCAAATAATTTGGAGAACGTTATATAAAACTTAAGTTGTACGTCCAAGTTAAATGCAATTAACTGAAGAAAAACAGCACCAGAGAAAATTCTTCTGAAAGATGATTCAGTGCCTGGTCTTTAAAGGCTGATTAGTATCTGAGGTTTCTACTCCACCACAGCCCTCTCGTCACTTTAGTACAGTCTTCCAGATAGGAAGCACTTGAAACAGCAGCATGCTTTTCATCTATTCATCCAGACCGTGACCTCATTGTCACATCCTGGCTCACACCACAGTATAAACTCTGCTGCATTGCTGAATGTGCCCATGTCCAGGTTCTGCATTTCCCTCTTTCATCCACTTCCTGCCATACACACACATCCTGCAACACCCAGAAGATAATGGTACTGAAATCTTTTACCAATAGTTATTTAGCTAGTTATGTGGCTTTATTATATTTAACATTTTAATTGATTTTCATTAAAATTTTACAGTGTCTTTAGCATTCCTGTGAATACTGCTTATGTTCACAGAAATTTTAGTACCAATAATTTATTTCTAACCTGGCAGTAAGCCAAAACAACCTTAGACTGAGTGCTCTGCTTTCGTCATTATGGTTGCTACATACATAAATGGTTAGGAAACTGGATTGCTACCTTGCTATTCTTCATCCCATTTCAGTCATATCTCTTGCCATCCACACATTCCATACATTATGCTTAGATCCCATCACAAATTATTTGAGTAAACCCAGCTGTATCACACACAGTATCTGCTATTAGGTAGGAAGATGCCACCATGATTTTTAAGATAGTAATCACCACAGATCCCAAGAGTAATCTGCAATAATAATATCTCTGCTCTCTGAACAGTATGCCAACCAAGTGTCTGACCAAGACTGAACCCTTGACGTACCACAGCTGAAACAGAAGCCCAAGCTGCCCTTGGTAAAATGTGTGAGAATTCAGGATGGCAAGCTACACAACCAAATTCTGAGCAAACAGTGTTTTTTTAGAGAGCTAGTATCCTGGAGACTACTGCTGAGACTCCAGTAAGACTTAATATCTAGGCTACAGATATTTCTTCAGGAACCACTGATAATACCTAAAAATTATCAAGAGGAAAACCACTGGGAGCCTATCTGCAGATGCTGCAATGACAGTGACTTAGTAGTTAACAGACAGCTTCTCTCATGCTGCTGCACAGTCTGAAAACTCACATTTCAGCAATGTTGTGAAAACAAGCAAATATTCAGAAATGCTTTCCTCTCTTTTGTTTTCTATGTTAGGAATTTCTTCCTCTTCTATTCCTCTCTTCGTTCCAGAGTATTCATTCCATTCTCCTTGTGCATTTTTTTCCTTCTTTCCTTCTCCACTCCTTTACTAAGTGTTTCTTGCAGTCATATTCAGCACTATAAGAAAAGCACACGCTTTGGCTCAGGTATCAGCTAAAAAGCAATTGAGAAGGGTGACAGGAGGCATGAAAACAAAGGCTGCTGGTTACATCCTTCTTTGTCCCTACTAAGCTTCTAGACTACAGAAAACAATCAGGCAGATATATGAAGAAAGTGTGAAGTACCTACAGCGACTGCTTTTGGTAACATCACATTCAGACAGGTTTAAGTATTACCTTATTGCTTGTATGTGGGAGGACATACAATTAAAGAAGCACTCTTCTTTCACATTTCCTGTTTTAAGAATGGGATAACACACCACAAATTCTACAGCCTGAATGACTAGAATCTGTCACCCAATCCTTCACATGTTTGTTCTAAACAAACCAGATGAGCTCCATTTATGTTAGAGCCAGACTGATGAGACACTACTCTGTGATTTGTTCTTTAGCAAACACACTGAGGATGGCATGAAAAGTGTGGTATAAGTAATACATAAATGTAGAGAACATGGCCACTATAAAGAAACATGACAAGAGGAGAAAACCTAAGTTTTGAGTACATTGGTTATAATTAAAATGGAATAATCTGCCTCTGCCAGGAAACAAAGATTTTCCAAATTGTGGTATGCATCATCAGTCTTCAGTTTCTTTCAAATCCAACTTCTTTTCTAGAACAAATACGAACCCCAGTAGTATATTCTCCAGTACTTAGTGAAAGAAAGAAATTGAGCCAAAACAACATGCAAAACTGAAATATTCTGAAAACTAAAAAGTAGCTAATTTGCAAAACATACATTCAAATTCAAATATATTTTTGATCACTGGATTACACAGAGTTAAAATCAAGCTCACAACAATGAAATGGCCATACTGGTATATTACAACACAAGATGACAGGTAACTCTAAGATGCCCATCATGACCTCTTTAAAGGCATGAGGATTACCTTATCATAAGCATATTGATAAATTATGAGAATACATTGTGAAAGCTCTTGCAATGTCTAATATTAAAAATCCAGTGTAATTTATTGAAGCAGATAACATCTACAGAGTTGCAGATGTAATGTAATATGCAGCTGCTCTGAGCTACAGAGATGTAAACAGGTTCCCTTTATGTTCTATAGATTTTCATTAAAACTTGCACACTTGATGTAACCACAAGCTTCTCACAAGAGACATCTCTGGAGGCGTAACAGAACTCATGATTTCTATTATGCAGCTAGCTATCCAATGCATTTAAGACAAATGAAACAATACCTCACAGAACTTCACGTAACAGTTGTCACCTGTGGAAGGCTGGACACATAAAACTTTTGCTTGTTGACAACACTCCCTGGATAACCTGACTTATATTTCATTGCCCTGCAGAGATACTGTGTCCAGACTGTGAAATGGCATACTCCACTCCTGAACTTCACCTCACACAAAAGAGATTTCATCACATGGATGCTAAAAGGTAGGGGATAGCCTTATACACTCGCTTCTGATCTGCCACATTCCTCTATCATTGGGACAGGGATTAATTGTAGAGCTCCTTCCAGCATCAAACATATGTTATGGAACAGCTTCAGGCAAAAGAAAAATATGCAGGAAACATTACATCAAGCATTATACTTCTTGTCAGCTTAGGACTTGAGAAAGCTTTTGTTGCAAAAGCATGATCAGATAAACACAGTCAGATGGCTCAGTACCACACCAGCCTGGGCAGCTGCACTGCTTGGCCAAACTTGGTGAGAGTCTCCACAGGCAAGTGTGAAGGGACAATGGGATGAACCACGAAAAGGGGACATCTGTGGAGAACACAACGGAGACACTGTTTGTTTGGAGAAACCAAAACTGCTCCTACTGTCACCATACTCTGCCTTGAGCTGAAACACCAGCACATGTGTGGAAGATCTTCAGGATTAAACCTCCAGTAAACAGACTCATCTTCACATAAGCTATTTTTGCTGTAAGCAGAGCATAAGAACTGAAGCATGCATTGCTTCCCTAGGATGGATGCAAAAAGTAGCGCAGAATAGCACACAACTGTCCTGGAAAGGCTCATATTTATCTCACAACCAAATTAACACCTTACGTTCAGTAAAGCAGCAACCATTCTGTGAGTAAACACATTTCCACTCAAGTCTGAATTTCACATCCAGCTTCTATGCCAGTTTATGCAGACTGAGTATCAGGCCTTCTTTGCTGTCATACTCACGCATTCACTGATGTTTACAGACATTAATTCCTGCCAGCAGTGCAATACATTATTCCAGAGGAATGCTAAGATGACAGTCCTGTAAAAGATAAGTGGTAACAGTCACTTTTTACTATTTCTACTATGGGGAGAATGTACCTTCAAAATGCTGTATACCTTTCACAAAATACAATGCCATGTTAGGGATCTCCTACTGGCAGTGTTTTCTGAGCCTATTCTTCATGAGGATTTAACATTTCAGAAACATACTTGAAATTACTCCTTTCCACAAACTGCATTAAACTGGACACTAATAATAGTTTCACTTTCTTTCTACCCAACATAGAGGGCAAAAAAGAGCAGTCTGAGACAACATGAGAAACCATGGCAAAAAATACACTTGTAATGGATCTGGATTGTTTTTTTATTCCCTTCCAGTGCATTTGGACATAATTTTTGGGAACTTCAGTGTTCTAAAAGTGCTTGAAAAACAGTTTTTGCAACAGATAAGGTACACCAGACCATTATATTTTTGCTTTCATTAGCTTAACTAGGGAAACAAGACCAACCTATCTAAAAGACACTTATATTCTATCACTATGAACAGCATAAATGGTGTTGAATTTAGTACTAATGTCTCAAAGTATTACTGCAACAATATAAACACAGTGACCAGGATATAATTGAGCCATGGAATTTACAAATGATGGAACAATGTGAACAAGACAATAATAGAGATAATAGAGTACCTATCAGCTTAATTTAATGCATTACTGAGCACAGGCCTATATTAAGGGCAACTAAAGGCCCAGCCTCAGAAACCTAATTGTAACAACTCAGCAATTCCACCTTTCTGGACCAAACATCAGATTACATGGCACAACAAACAATCACAAACACTAAATAAGGATATGAATAAAAATCCCTGATAAGCAACTCAAGGAATTCTCAGTTATATATTAGCAGCTATCCAGTAGGGACAGGGAGGTGATTGCCCCCTCTACTCTGCTCTTGGGAGGCCCCATCTGGAGTACTGTGTCCAGGTCTAGGTTCCCCAATACAAGAAATACAGAGAGCTGTTGGAGAGGGTCCAGAGGAGGCCACGAAGATGATCACAGGGCTGGGAGCACTTCCACAGCAAAGACTGGCTGAGGGAGCTGGGCTTGTTCAGCCTGGAGAAGAGAAGGCTGCGGGGTGACCTCATTGCAGCCTTTCAGTACCTAAAGGGAGCCTACAAACAGAAAGGGAATCAACTCTTTGAAAGGGTAGATAACAGCAGGACAAGGGGAAATGGTTTTAAGCTGAGGGAGGGAAGACTAAGGTTAATCTTAAGGGGTCAGGGAGAAGTTCTTTACAGAGAGAGTGGTGAGGTGCTGGCGCAGGCTGCCCAGAGAGGATGTCCCATCCCTGAAGTTGTTCAAGGCCAGATTGGATGGGGCTCTGGACAGCCTGGTCAATTGTTAAATGGGGAGGTTGGTGGCCCTGCCTGTGGCAGAGGGGTTGGAGATTCATGATCCTTGAGGTCCCTTCCAACCCAGGTCATTCTGTGAGTGTGTGATTCTGATTCTATAAGTCTATGCCTTTCAACTGCCTAAAACCTGACTACACTGTGACAGTGATTAGGACTGAATAAATTCAGACTGTACTATTTACAAAGGCATCACAATATCATCCAGAGAGAAGAGCACAGCCTAATCTGCTATGCCCTGCTTATGTCAATACTTCACTGCTGTAGACCCAGCACCAGGAACCATGGTGGCATCCCAGCCCAAAATGGAGCTACACCACCTTCCTTTCAGCACTGCAGCTTGGGAATACTTCTGCTAAGCAGGCTGTTCCAGCAGCACCCTTAGCCTCATCAGCATCCCCTCTGTGAAGAACATTGGTGAGCCCAGCTTGGATAAGGTAGCCCAAAAGGGGACAGCTGCCACTGCCATGACAAAAGGCTTTAACTTTCAGAATACACATGCCATTGCAAAGTGCATGAAGTCAAGAAATGTATTTCTTCTGGAATACATTGTATGGAAGTGGAAAGTCACAAATTGGTGGCAGTTTCCACTCACAGCATGGGATTCACCTGCTCAAATGCAGGTATTTCTGGCATAGACATAAGACACATTGGTTCTCATCTAAACTTCCATCACAGTTAATAGTGCAAAACTACTGCTTACAAAACTTATTTCACACTGGACAACTAAACTCCAACAGATGCATCAAACCAAAAACTGTTCACCTGCTTCCCTTGATAGTAAAGGTATCCCATTCCAATCAGCTCAGATGTGTAAGTCTTACAGCACGAACTGGAAGCTGCAGATTCCATCTTTTCCTCCCTTCACACCCTCATCCTTCTGCCCGTTCCCTTTCTTAAGTCAAGCAGAATGACACTTATAAGTAATATAAAGTTACATTCATATACCTACATATTGTGTTATTCTCTGAGACAAAGTATTTTTAGAAATGAACAATTACTGTTAGCTCTTTAAGAAAATGAATGAGTAATGTTTATCCGCCCATTTTCAATACAAACAGTGAAGAAGTGCCTCCCAAAGCAGATGATACTGCTGTAACAGACTATGAGACACAAGATTCCCATTCCATAATGGGTTTGTGCGTAAGGTTTTGGTAGTGGGGGCTGCAGAGGGGAGGCCTCTGTGAGCAAAGCCCAGCACTGCCCTGTACCAGGGCCGAGCAGCTCCAGCCTGCTGCCTTTTATTGTATTTTCTTACTCTCTTCTGATAGGGGGACTGAGTGAGCAGCATGATGGAGCTGTGCTACCTACCAATTTGCAATCACCACACGTTCTCATATGACAATCTACAGATAAAGAAAACCAGGCACGACTGAATCTAACCCAGAACAGGCAGACAGGGGGATCGTCAGGCAAACTGCAAAGACACTTAAGGTTACTCTTTCCAGACCTAAATCTAAGTGCTCAGAAGTGGAAACAAGTTAACCACTAACACTTCAAGAAGAAAATCTTCACAGACTTCCCTGAAGCAACTTTGGCAAAGGTTTAACACCTCAAATTTCATAGTGAACTTGCTGATAAGAACAAAGTAGCGACTTTTAAGCATCATTTTCAGCATCACTGAACCATTTGTCCACCCTGAAAACATAAGACAATGGTGTATATTCCTTTCCTCCTCTGTGGTGAATCTCATGTAGCTATTTTTGATCTTAGCCACCTAAGGCAAATGGCTGCTACTCACAAGTGTTTTCCCACATTCTTCCATTCCCCCCTATAAATCCAGTTTCCTTCCAGCTACCTGTTTTTGACTGTAATAAATGGGTTTCTGTGAAGATTAGGACACGTCCTTAAAAAGCTATTGTCAGCTGAACTCAGACTGCCAGAGCCAAATCCACTGTCCACATGCATTCCCTATTACTGCAAGAAGCCTTCCACTATAACATAAACGAGCCCATTAGAGACCTACTCTCTATTAGAAGACATCAAGCTATGATCATCGTTTAATCCAATTCATTTCCTAGAAGAGAACAGCTAACACCTGACTCAGGAAAACATAAGCTGTATTGGTGGTGACTGGCACAGCTCTCTTTCTTTATATAATGGGGTTAGTTTTGTAGCCATGGCAGCTTACAGAGTGATGCAGAAGATAATCCTGCTACCTCATGAATAGATGTTCTCTTTTCCAGGTACCCTCATTCACCACTGCATGTGGATTACACAGGCTGCCACAATGGAAAGTAGCTCTGAGAACTTTGGAAAGCAGTTCTGCAGCAAACCCAGATGTCTGAGTGCACAGAACAGCTTACACAAGCACCTCCTTGCTCATGCACCAGTTTTTTACCAATAACAGCTGAGCCTTTAGTAACATTATTTGTACTTCTGCATTAAAAAAGATGAGCTGGCACTTGCATTTGGATTAATGTATTTTGTAAAGCGGTGCACTGAAGACCTTATGACTGACTAATGGAAAAAGCAGAAGTAAAGCTGTGCTTCCTCCAAAACCCTTAGAAAGAAAGAGAAAAAAGCTGCCTAGATACACACTCCCGAAGGAATGCAAAATTCCCAAGGATTTTGCATGTGAGGATTTATTCTTGCAAATTTCTCTGCCATTAGGACAAAAAGCAAATTAAACTGTGCTGTGCACAATGGAGATCAGTCATATTTTTTAGCAGTTCTTTCTATTAGTCATCCTCCATCACTACAGAGAAGATTTCAGTAGGAATCTTTTCAGCCCAAGGAGTTCTATTTCTACTTCTCTTTTATTTATTTATTTTTTGTTACATTCCAAGAGAAGGTCTCCTAAAGTTCATGTCAAATGAAGAGTTTCCTTCAGGGTTTACAGTTGAATTCCAACAGTATTTTACATGTTTTAGAACCTCTTTATCCTATATCCACTGGAGGCTCACAACCACTGTAATCAGCCACATCTCATTACACTGCAGAAACCAGTAAAATGCTAGCACCAAGCACTAAAAAAGGCCAGTAGATTAGAAGCCAACACCTGCAAGCAAAATGAACTCTATGACCCCAAGAGGAGTCCTCCCCTTCTTATACTGCAAGAAAAGCCATTAATGGAGTGAAGTTGTGTTTGATACTTCTTATAAGTTCACAATAACCACAAAGAAAACAAATTATAAATTCATGTTAGTATAAAATTCCTGGTTTTCAGATGGCCTTCAATAGTACACCTGTAGAAACTGCAACAATCTGCATTTGAATACATGAAAACACAGTGGGTAATCCTGCGCCAAGGACAGCTACCTATCCACCAGTGCATAAAAACAGACTTTTGTAAGCACACATCATTTTACAGGGCATCAGAAAACACTGTCTTAAAGAACTTCAACTAATCTAATGCGTAGTAACCAGTTGTTTGTTTAAGGTAAGCTCTGATGTGAGATGTAACCACAAAATTCTTATCACAACCAATTCCAGAGTCCTTTGTGAAGCCTGTTTCAAGGACTTTGAGAGCAGTAGATGAAAGAAAAGAGCCATGAGAATCAGTAAACAAATAGCCCAAGGTCACACTGCAGGCCAACAGCAGTACGAAGTACAAGACCATAGCTGCCTCATTCACAGGGTAGCCATCTGCTCATAAAGCAGACTCCAAACACATTCCTGAAGCAGACTTTGGCACCTCTATTTAACTTGGTTCCAACCTGTTTAATGAAAAAGTGTTAAGTCTCATTTTCTATTGGATAATAACGGAGCCCTCTGGATCTAGCCAAATCACATGAAAATGCAGTAAGTTTGTACTTGAAAGAAAAATGTGTAGTACAAACTTGTCATTTTCTTATCCCTCAGGAAGTTTTGCCTCTAACTTGCTATGAAATTGCACTTCTCTTAAAGTCTCAATGTCATTAAACTAGAAGAGGCATGGACTATAGTTTCAGCATCTTCTCTCCCTTATCTGTGCCTCCTTCCAACCCAGCACACACCTCTCTCCATTAGCCATGACTGACAGAACATAACAAGACTACTCACTCATCTAAAGGCACCTAGAGTAAAGGCCTCTCTACACATTTGAACTTATCTAGATGGTTCTCCAATTGATGTTAGTTTTGTATTCTACCACAGTGAAATTATTTTCTTGTACAGTGTTTCTCTGGATCAGGTTAAAAAAAAAATAAAAAAAAAAAAAAAGAAGAAGAAAACACATCTCTTTCAAGCTGAATTACTCCACTGAACAAAGAAATTAGCTCTCTACTTGATAATGTCATATCTGAAGCTTACAATCACAACAAAAATAAGAGAAAAATAATTTAGTTCAGGAAACTACATTGTTCATGGCCCCATGATGAAAACCACTTACTGTTATTTACAAAGATATACATTACAATAATATGTATTACTTATCAAGATATTCCTTATCGGAAATTATACTCTTACCTTTGATACTCCCTGTTCAAAACCCAAAGGCCTATGCACATATCCCATCCCAACTCTCTTTACAGGGGTGCAAAATTAGTTCTTCCACCCAAATTCTATGCAGAATAAAGCGGTGCAGCGCTGAGCACACAGTGATGGGAGTTCCTCTCTCTACTTACCCAAAGCTGGGAGAGGACAGGTGCATCATGTAATTATTATTTGCTTGGCAGCTAACCACAACTGTCAACACCCTTCCTGTGGAGCACTTCAAATGAACTTCAAAAAGAGCCCTCACCAAGTTAATGAATGGACTGAAATAACATGTCTATAAAGTACAGGAAGCCCAAAACAAGAAGATGAGATGCATATGGGAAAAAAAAAAAAAAAAAGTAATACTGCAGTAGCATTATCTCTCTGCTTAGCAGGATATTCTTTAACATCAAATAGGAAAGGATGGGAGGAAAACTTTACCTCTTTCAGTACCACAGAAATTTGATATAGGTTTCCCCAAAAGTTACTTTTCTTTGTGACCTCACCAAGACAGAAAATGAAACTAGAGTCCTGCAAGTGTTTGCTGTCCTCTGACACAGGGAGAGGAGGGCTCAACTCCGCTTACAAGTGAAGGACTTGGAACCAGCTGCAATGGTCAGACTGGTCAGACCAGCCCACAGCTGTCCTGGTTGCATGGCAGCAAAATGCTGGTCAAAAAGAAGGGCCGTTTCTGGCACACTCAGTGGAGTAAGAAGTCAGTAAAGGAGAGAAGAGGTAAAAACAGACTGCTCTCTCCCTGCAAACAACTCACTGGTTGAGCTGTCCTCTCGCAAAATTTGTCCTCCAAATTCAGCTTCACTCTGAAGAGTGATCTGGGAGGGAAACAAAGATCCACACAGACGCTACACAAGCAAATGACCTATCTGTAGTGTAAAGTGTAACTACTGTGTTTACTTCAGGGTCAACCCACCATGAAATTAGCACCTACCTCGCTCTCGTTATGAAAATACTTCAGCTGTCTTGAGGAATACTGCAAACAGTAGAAGCTAAAGACTGCTCTGAGCTCAGACAGATGTTAAAAAGGCCAAAACATCTACTTCACAAAATCAGTTACATTCCATTTCACCTCTTCTTCTACTGTCTGAGTTATGAACAGAAAGATAGGCACCACAGAACAGCATCAATCAGAATTGTTTTCACACCTTAATCAATGGCAGCACCACAAAGGAGTGCACTATGGACTCCTGTTCTTCTGTACCAGAATCTCTTACTTTCTCAACCATATCTACTGGACAAAGGTAATTCTTCTCTCTTATATTTAAATTACTATGGTGTAAGGAAAGATACTACTGTTGTGTAGATGCTTACAGAACACTTGTAGTTTATTGTGTTAACATGAAGTATCATCAGAGGTAATCAGAACTGCCAACACGGTGAATTACAAGGATTCCCCTGGAAGCACATTGTGGTTTGGGACCTGGAACTTCGCCCATTCAATACAAGGATGCTGTAAGGGAGATAAATCCTGCTGCATAAAAATCAGAGCAGGGCAACACTCATAACTAAAATCTTCTGGTCCTTGAAATACGGTTTGCATTTTTAATCCCATAGTAAAATAACATTATCTCTCTCTCTGTTTAACTTCTCCTCTAACTAGTACTAGTACTAAATTTCTATTATAAATCTCTACAGAAGCATCAGTGGAATTTAAAGTCTGTTAAAAAAAGATTTAGGAAGGAATGCAACTCACTAGTTAGTTCTAGCAAAAAGGAGTGCTGGGCTAACAGGAATTTCATTCACAGAACCCAGTTTTAGTCCCTCCAAGAAGTCATCAACCTCTCCAAAAACTTGCTAATCTCACCAGTAGAAACAATTGCAGCTTTTCAGCGGCCTTCTGCTTGCAACATTCAATGTCCATTCCAATGCAGATGGCATCCACACAGATAATCCAAAATACAATCATGGTTCACAAGGGGTGACCACCAGATCACTGCTTAAAAAAATTTCTCTTCTATAATCATACTCTTACATGTGTCATACGGGCATATTTCCAGGCCTGCTATGAAAGATAATGTCTTATTTCTTCTTCATAATGATCTTCAGTGAGTATCAGTATTTCAAGCAGTTGTTCAGACAGTTCATGAATGGTTGCAAAAGCTAACAAATTTCTGCAAAAGGATTTCACAATTTTTTCAACAGGATCTATGCAGACAGGTACTACATTCTGGAGTACTACCTCTTCTAGACTTGATCATTTCTTAACAAAGCAAAAAGGTTAGAAAACCAAGGCCAGAGTAGTATGCCATGTATGGTCAGTGCCAATCACTATGCAACTGGGCCTAGTTGATAGCACCACAGCCTGTTGTGGCAGTTTGCCATAGTACTTCTGCTTGCTTAACGTGCAGGTATCCAGATGGAAACTCAGCCATCTACTCCTTTTTATTCTGTCAAGGACTTTAGAGCTGTCTTTCCTGCATCCTTTGAAATAAGATTTACAGTGAACTGGCTTACACTTTTGGCACATCAAAAATCCTGTCCTGAATGCCATCCAAAAGGCTGACCTGTCATGTGCTAGCCTGCTCACTTGCCTGTTGTGTGCTGAGCCATTTCAGAACATGCATTGTTGCCAAAAGCCTAGACTGCTTACTAACTGCACTGTTAATGTTAAATGCATACGGCCCAGCCACTAATTTCAGTAGCATTCCCCTCTTGTATAGACCAAACAATCTCCTAATGAGCAAAATTGAAAAAGGCTGGAAAATCCACCTAACTCTGTTACAGATAGTCTTGAACAAAATCCCAAGTAGCAAAACACCAAGTACCAATAGTTCTCCACTCTGGAGTGAAGAAAACATCAGCAGTTTAAACGAAAGCCATCGGATTTACTGAGGAATAGTAATAATAGTTCTAGAAGGTCTGAACTATTTCTTATGCAGCATGAGGTGTGAGAATGGATGGACCACAAATATTTCTACATACAAGGCAGATGGGAGAGATGTGGATATACTTACATGTAGCAACATGAGCTGTTCTCAGTTTGGACCAGCCCTGCTGTAGAAACCTCAGCAATCCAGAATCCTGCTGGGCTTCGAGAGATCACAGCCCACAGCAGCTGTTACTTGACAACTCGTAAGACACAGAGAGAACAGTCTTCGTGACCATTTCACATTCAGTCCTTCAGCCAAGATCACTATCAAGGCAGGTTATCAGAGCTGCTGGTAATGACCATTTTCATAGTACAACCATCTCTACAGGGAAAACAGAGCAAATTTGGAAGGTTAACATTTACCTTGCCTGCCTGGTTAGAAGAAAACATAAAATAAGAGCAAGGCTGGTTATTACTCCTGTTGATCAAGTCAACATCTATGCTATACTAACCTCACTTGACACGTGCCCATGAAAATCCACTGCTACTACACTTTACAACAATGCTTAATTCTGTAGGCTTGTTATCCATGTGTGTTATTAACTTTTAAGGTGTAATGTGGAATTATACCTTAATTATACTTCTTGACCTCCTAGAAAAAGAGCCTCCAAAATTCAATTACCTATATGCTCCCTTCAATAACTTTCCCAATCACCATCCAATTTCAATGAAATATGAGAGAGCATTTCAAACCTCAACATAATTACAGCCCTCCACAGTTCACCCAAATTAGCAACTGGACAGAGAAGAGACCCAGCTCACTGAACTCGCTAAGGAAAAACCTAATCAATCATTCAGAAAATTCATTCAGAAAACATATGGAATTGAAAATTAGCTTCAGGTAGGTCTTCTGTCCTACTTTCTGAATGCTTTCACAGAATACTAAAAGGAGTTGAGGAACTGAATGAAAGAAGATCATTAACTGCCTTCAGTAGCTAAAGAAGTAAATTTCCAGAAATTGTAAATACACCTGGCACACATAGCTATGTCTTCACCTCAACATGCCTGGGCAATTCTGCATCACTAGCAGCCTTCCAACAATCATGCCACATCGTTCAAGACATTTCTCACCAGCCAACTGCCATGCTGAAATAATTCATCAGCAGTATGAAGAAATTATTACATCAGAACAGCAGTCACCCTTCACTCAAGATAAATGACAAGAAATAGTCTACTTCTACAGCCTCTTTGTAGCCTCTGCAGCTTCCAGTTCTCACAGAGGCTGATTAACATGCAACAATGATGTATATCTGGTATCAACCCTGTAGGAAGAAGCACAGTAGCACACATCACAGTTAACAATCTCAGATTTCACTTAGTAAGGTTCTCATTCTTTAACTGGTTTGATTTGAAACAGTTTTGAAATGTCCTATATTCTGCAGCCAGTTTCAGGCCCAAGTACTTGAAATACAGAACTGTGAAATTTCACAATATAGCTAAAGCTTCCCTCTCCCAGGAAACTGGGACATTTTGGATGTCATGATGACACAAGGTCACACAACTCCAGGTTGCCTTCTATGCAGCACAGGCTCCTCAGTTTAAGACACCATTCTCTTAGTCTCACATCTCTTTTTAAAAAGGTCTGAAAGCAAAGGAATCCAGTTGAAATTGCAAGCATCAAACCAAAAGATAAGAAAAGGCAGCATTTCCCTTGGAGGTGCTACCATGGGAAATTAGCAAGATCAGATCTTCCAACCCAAACATACCTTCTCCAATATCCTGAAGGGTGCCAGCTGATGAAATCAGGTCATGTTCTTCTGCTAACAGCCATGCTTTCCTAGTCCTCCCTATGTGCCTGCACCAGTTCTATCCTAATTAGCCTCTCCGATTGGCAAAAACAAGATTTTTTTTTTTTTTTTTCCTCCACAGGGAGAGGGAAAGGGTTTGGCTTCTCAGACAGATTTGTTTGGGGGCTAAAAAAGTCCTAAGGCCAAACAGAAGAGAGACAGAATTACACCTCTAGGTACAAGACAACTATTACATCAGTTTGCCTGCGTGTGGTAAAACATCACCTTAAGCTCCATATCATCTGCAACCCGTTACAAGTTTACTTCCCAGAGCAGTTAAACTGACAAAGATCTCTAAAAACACATGCAGCATGAAACATTTCCTCTGCAGCTGGGGGTAAACAAGTTGGCTGGGTAGAGCTTTTCCTATCACCCCTATTGGATTCAGTGATTCAGGCCCGAGGGTTTTTCACATCTCAGACTCCATACACAGTGATGTTTGCAGTCTTCCCAGAAATGAGAACACCAAGTGAGCCTTATCCCCTGGACTTGTGAGGCACCTTGGTTTATCATCCACTACAGCAACATTCCACCACACAAACATACAAATTTATTAAGACTGGTACTAAGTACTGCAAGTGAGAAAGCATTAGGAACTATATAACTCTTATATACTATATATACTCTTATAACTATATAACATCTTTACAGAAATAGTTTTGAGAGTGATATTCTACTGGTTGCCAAGATGGATGAACAATCATGTTAGACTGTTTATAAAAACTGATTGCAAGCAGATGAGAACAGCAGAGTCACAGACATCTAACACAACCAGTTTGACAGAGCAGCCAGATGGAAATTCCCTCAGAAAACCACAAAGCCTCTGTAGGGCATTCCACCTCTGCTTTTCTGGTAGGTTATGACCTCTTTATTTTCTCAATGGCAGACATGGCACTAAAGATCAATCTTCTTTCTATCCCTGCAAGTGTTCCTCTGCTTTTACAGCCCCCAATAACTTACATACAGGGTGAGGTGGGTACTTCATAAGCACTTAGATGAGACTGAATTTCCTGCTGGTCCCTGGCTGAGAGAAAACGACCATAATTTGTTAGGATAGGCAAAATCTGGCACCCTAGCAGAGGTGAGGCTGCTCAGCTCTGAGCTTGCAGGTTCAACCAGCAGCTAGGTGCAGCATGCATTCTCAGCAGGCACACACATACAGTACATACACCATGTAGAACATATGGTATGGATGTGACCACATCAATTGCCAGCAGACACACAGAGCACTTGCACAAACACAACTTATGCCAAGAGTTTCATCCTGTTCTCTGTAGCCTAGTAGGACAGAGGTCTGCTAGTGGAGAACACATGCACAATGGAAATTCCCGCAGCAGCTAAGCTCAGGCACTGCTGGCTCCCAGCTATCTCTGGTTCCTGGCACCTGGACAACCAGCCCCCTTTTATCCCCTCATTTCTCTACCTTCACATTTGTTCCTCCTCAAACAAAACCCCTAGGTCCATTCCTTTCCTTACCTCCTGCTTCTCCCCCAAACATCCCATAATAAATCCCACACAAACCCAAAGTGCTTATCCTCTTCATTCCACCACATGTCCCTCCAGCCAGCAGACTCCAGCAATGCTCCATTTTGACAGGATTTGTTCCAGCCTATAGTGCTGAGGACGCTGCAGGACAGCCCTGGAACTGGCTTTTCTGCAGCCTTTCCTTTTATCTCTATATAGGACTAAATGGCAATTTGAACCTAAGCATTATCTAGGTGAATTCAGACCTGGGATCTCAGTTCTCTCCAGTTCCTTCTCCTAAACCTGTTGCTTCAACTCCCATCTAGCTACTAAAGTTTCACATCTTCAGCTCCTGTGACACAAAATGAGATCCACAGTGCAAAAGTTCTTTGACCATCGGTGAACCACAACTAAGCCACTGTAAGAACAACCACACCTCTCACAAACCTACAGATTCTATAACAGAATGATCTTGGTTTTGACAACACCAAAAATATTTCCTCATTAGAAAAAAGCAAGTTATTCCAGAGACTTCGGTTCCTTTGACCAAACTCCAGAGAACTGCTTGAAGGAAAGAATGGGATGCAATGCTTGGGAAAACATGAAGCCCTGAAACAAATGCAGAGATCTCCCCTTGAAATGCTTTTCACAACAGCCAAGTAAGTCATGGATCATCCATGAAGTCACAATGACAAGAAGATGGCAGACAGATGACTGAGGATGTGATTATTCTATACGGTGTGTAAACAGAATGCAAAAAGAAAAACAAAAACAAAAAATGTTCAGCAACAGATTGGATCCAACTCTGCCTTGAAACATTAAGCTGTTTTTCTGTGTTGCTTTTGAAGATGAAAGTATGGGTCATCGCCTATCGCTGTTGTTCCATTTAGAGCAACAGAGCCACGTATACGCATAACAAACTGAAATTCTGTCCTAAGATTTTTAATGCAGACAGTGAAACCATCTGAAGGTGAAATGAACTGGCATGTAATTCTTGACTGAATTATCAAAACCAGGGCCAGTCATTAAAACTGCATCAGAGTGATTTCTCCTGTACTACTGTACAGACATTCTTAATGTCCTCCTATAGCTGTAAGTTACAGCTGAATCCAATTTATTTCTTTAATCTCATACAATGACTTGTAAGTACACAATTACTATACCTTAAATGAACTCTCCCTACACACTTCCAGCAGTGCACTGAGGTCAGATTCAGCTCACAACTTTGCCCAGTCAAGTCAATCAAAGCTAAAATCTTCTGACATTCCAACCACAGTTGAAAAAGACATCCTCTGCTATCTTGGTAACTCTCACTTCAAGTCAACATCAAAAAGCCAGAGAAACATGTATTTGATACTGCATTAGACTGTGTCTCGTGACTACTGTGTGCACTGTGTCCTGCAGTCTTCAGTGATGTAATTTCAGGAGATCTCACGGTTACCATCTTGTAAAAGTTTCAGTAATCTTTTATGACAATACATTTTAGTTTGATATGCTGATCTTCCTAACACCACATGCTAGTTACAGTTTAGCTTAAACCATTCTGATATTGGCACAGACTTAAAGAAAATGTAAAAATACACAACGAAGGCAATGCCTCCAACTAAGTTTAGATCCCTCGTGTCTAGAAGTCATACATATTTGTACTAAGCCATACAAACAGAGAAAGGAGCAAAATAATAATTAAAAAGCAAACAAAAAAAACCACAACACCTTAGCAGAGTAAGACAAAGTATTGGAAGATCTCACTGATGGACTTCTGTGGCAAATCCATGCATTAAACCTACCATGTACTTCTCCATTCTCTGTACAGAATTTCAATCAAGAAATTAATACTTCCTACAGTTTCATTCATAAATCAACTTCTCTGAAGACATCTAGCTGTAAGTAATTCATGAAAAAAACCACAATATTACTATCAGCAGTAGCAAAACAAGAAGAATAACAGGAGTATCACCATGTTAGTAGGTTTCTACTGCATAACTGCTGAAGCCATCACGTGTCTCACTAGAGAAACTGCTTATCCATAGCAATCCCTCAGTCTGTCACATTGTAAGCACTAACAGGATAA